GAGAGAGCAAAGGTTAGTACATACACTTTAAAAAACTTTCTTAATAAGATATTGCAAATCTTTTCTCAAATTTGGTTTTGTGTGGTGGCTATATAGCTCTAGCTCAGCCAGCGAGTGGAGGAGATTTCGGAGGAGAACAACAATTTAGTTTCGCTGAGAAAGAAGAAGGAGAAAGAGCAAAAGACGCCGAGAATGGACTAAACAAACTCGCTCCAAACTCCTCGGCGGAGCTACAATCAAAGACAGGTCTAGGAGGAGCCGCCGGAGGCGAAAATCAAAGGAAAAACATGCCGCCGGCGAGTGTGATGACAAGGCTGATACTGATAATGGTGTGGAGGAAACTCATCAGAAACCCAAACACTTACTCTAGTCTCATTGGCCTTATTTGGGCTCTCGTCGCTTTCCGGTTAGTTAAAAACTCAATATTAATGCTTTTCTTGAGTCAAACCGACCGGTTATCAAGAAATTTAACATCCGGTATTGAATATGAAGGTGGCACGTGGCAATGCCAAAAATCATACAGCAATCTATCTCCATTCTATCTGATGCTGGTCTTGGAATGGCAATGTTCAGTTTGGGTAAGTCTATTCTTCGTACTCTGTTTTTATTCCCTTTTGATTTTTTTTTAACCCATTTAAATGAATAAAATCTAAATGAATAAATCTGATTCATACCAAACAGAAAATTTTCTATATTCTGCATAATTCGTTGACGTATGAACCCATTTGCATAATAATAGAATTAAATTAGGTACTTCGTAAATTGTGATTAAGAAACAAATTGGTTTTTTTGGGGGATGGACCATCCGACAGGTGGGACAGTGTTGTGAGTGTCTTATTAGATAAATGGTAATGGTGGACGACATGGTCTCGTGTTGTTGATAATCGTCATGGTCCCCATTTTTATGGGACTTGATTGGAACTTTTTTTTAAAGATGTATAGTTGAAAAAGGAAAATATATTATTCATGGCCGGATTTTGAAATTGAACTGTTTTGGGTAATGTCGTGTAGGGTTGTTCATGGCGTTGCAACCCAAATTAATCGCTTGCGGGAACTCCGTGGCAACGTTTGCGATGGCTGTTAGGTTCCTAACGGGTCCGGCCGTGATGGCTGTTGCTGCCATTGCCATCGGATTGCGTGGTGATTTACTGCGTGTTGCTATAGTTCAGGTAACTTTTTTTTTTTTTTTTTACCATTAACTTCAGTTCTAACATGTTACAAAATTAACTATGTTGCTAAGTATATTGTTTGTATGGGTTTTTTAGGCTGCATTACCTCAAGGAATTGTGCCCTTTGTGTTTGCTAAGGAGTACAATGTTCATCCTGCTATTTTAAGTACAGGGTAAGTCAGATTATATATGTTAATTAATCGATTAGACAATATGTTATTGATATTGTGATTTTAACATGTAACATTGCAAACCAAATGATTTTGCAGGGTGATATTTGGAATGCTTATAGCGCTTCCGATCACGCTGGTTTACTACATTCTACTCGGGTTATAAGCTTTTCGATTACGAAAAAACCCCGAAAAAGGGATCAATTGTAGAGGAGGGGAGGGAGAAGGAAGAAAGGGAAAACAAGAGATTGTGTCTCATGGAACAAACTAAAAGCTTAGAGTATATAAGTAAACTAGGGAGTAGTAGCATGATTTAAGGAATGATGATGCCTACATTACAAGCCAAGAAACCCTTTCTTCTCCCATGTTTTTATATATAGAATATTGGGAGATGATTTGAGTGAGACAATGGGATGCAGATAAGGAGGAGCAAAACATGGGGCAACGAGACAAAGAACAAAAGATAAATAAAAGATTTGGAGGAAGAAGACAACTTATTATTTTTTGTAACTTTTTTTTTACACGAGTCCCTTTTGTTTTTAATGTGTTCTTTGATTAGGTTTGGGGTAACTTACTAGTTGATTACTGTGTAGAATTTGTTTTAGCCAAGAAAAGTGTGGTTTTTGATTTTGAATCTCCCCTCGTTCCAAGTTTCACAAAAATAAAAGAGTATTTTTCTACCAAGTTAAAAAAGAAGAATATATGTGATTCTTCTGAGATCTAGTAAAAATCTGTAATCAAATTTTGTGGATTTATTGAAACCTTTTATGGATGCAGTTGTAAATGATGAGAATGGTAGTGGGAGAAATGGGTTAGGTGCTTTGGCACTGAAAGCATTTGGTTTCATCATTAATTTAAGCTGGTAGTGATGTAAGTCTAAATGGTCCATGTAATGTGTAGGGATGATGAACAATTATTTTAGATAGATCAAGAAAAGGCAGAAAGGTAATTAAAAAGGTCAAAAGCTTATATAAAAGTTTAATAAAAAGTGCCTTTTCTTTTTCTTTATATGCTTTCTCTCATTTCTTTCGGATTTTTTTTTTAATATAGAAAAAGTAAGAGTATGTTTCTTTTTTGTCAACAAAGTAGAAAATGGAGATAAACATAAATTGACTGAAAATGACCGATTTTAGCTCTTATTTATATAGTTTAATAGATAGTTCGGCCATTTTTTCTCGTTTTACGGGAAGATTTTTCTATCCCACTATTTATAAACAAGTATATAAAGTTAGACATGCGTTTGGTAGATATAAAGTATAACAACCATTACTTAATTTGTATTTCAGACGGTTGAATCTTAAATTTTATCATATTTTACACATTTTGTTAGTACATTAATAAATTAATATCATCTAAAAACTCCATCTATGGTGATAATAAAAATATACTATATAACTACTAATACTTTGACATGGTACAACACTTACTTACGGTATTAATTAATATAAATAAAAATATGCACCAAACCAAATTCTATTTTATATTTACAAAAACGAAGGATAAGAAAATTATAAATAAATTGTTACAAACATGTGTATTTTTTGAAAACAAAGATTTTCCATGTGTTTTTTAACAAATACTATGTTATATTATTCCATTAATCATGGAATTCAATTTTAATCGCACACCAACAAAACTTGAGTTTTATGATTTTAATTGTTATAGCTGTTTTTTCTTGGCAATTTTTGTAACTTTTTATTTTCTTACAAGTAAATTGTTTAATAAGCTGCATACGGTTCAAAAATAATTATCTACATGTTTCATACCCTACTTTTATGCTTCAAAAGAATTTAAAAGAATTTCACTCATATAAATAATATATGTTTTCTAATTATATGTATTGATAAAATTAGACATACACCATTTTTAGCCAAAAGATTTCACAGTAACTATGAACCACTAGTAATTCAATTTATTTAATATCCTATACTTTTTTTTAAGTTCATATTTGTTTGACCTAAGTTATATATAGAGTACATAAAAGCGTTAAAACAATCTATATGGAAAAGAAAAAAACAAGAAAAAAAGATAAACTAAAGAAGTCAAGAATCAACACCGGAGGAAAGTAATATAGTGTTTCGAAACTTGCTTTTTATATACTTGATCACCTAATCCAGACGTAAAACGATAAGGAGTAATCACTAATAAGGGATTAAGTAAGTAATTAGTGGGGAAAACGTTTGATTGGGCTCCGAGTTACAAATTGAATGTGTTGTCGCATTGGATGGGAACACAATGGGACGCATATCGAAAGAAGTCTGAAAACACTTAATCCACCGTCAAAGACTTAAAAAATTGGTCGGCTAATCTATAATTATTAAATTTGATTATATCAAGATTAGCAAGTGTCTGTATTTAAGAGGTCTCATTAGACCAACATGCGTCGCACAAAAGCTGTAATGGGCTCTGTGCACTTCCATAGTTTCACTCAGTTATACTATAATACTAATAAATCTCTTTGTTTTACGATATGGTATATTTTTTGTTATTATCGAAAATTCGTCATGGAATCAGAAACATTTATCGGTAAAATCGTCACGTATTTTGGACTCTGCATAGAATGGGATTGTCTCGATGTTAAAAGATTTATCATATGACAAAAATCGATGCATGCATGATTAATTGAACCACCTATAAAGTTGTGTTAAACTTTTTTTTTTTCTTGAGGGAGAGCGAGGTACATGTATGCAACTGTGGATATATGTGTATGGACTTCATGTGCTGATTGCTAAACAAAGAGAAAAAAGTTGAATATAACGTGTAGAAATGAATATGTATAATGAAAAACAGAACCACTGTCAATTTTCACATATCACAATCAAAATATGGGTATCACTCAAGTATATTATAATGACATATAACAAATATATATGAGAAAAAAGAAAACAGCACATGATGTTGAAGAATCACGTAGAAACTTTTTGATGTGGAAAGGAGAAGTTGTCATGTTCGAGCAAGAAACATACATGGACCAAGGTCAGTTTATAGTATGTGAGAGATGTGTATTTTGCGGAGCAAAGGTACGAAAGATCCTATTGTACACTAAATGCGATAATGGTTTAACATTGGTTTTCAAAACATTTTTGTATGTCTTCATTTTTTGTCGCATGTTTCAATTTGATCTTTGTAGACCATCCAAATCTTTGAGATTATATTGTCCAACATCTTGAAGAATTTTGTAACAAAAACATAACACATACTATACTACATCCTGATTAACTTTTGTTTTATGTATTAAATCCAAATTCAGTTTAAAATATTTGTGTGCATGTAATACTATATATAACTTTTAAAAACTTACACGAAAAAAACTAATAACAACATCTCCAGCATGAGCTGGAATGCTGGATTATCTTATAGTGCGCCTAACATACTATTTCTATTATTATCGAGCCGGTGCTAAAATCAACATGTGCATACTCCTAAGTAATAATAGCTATTGTATACATACTAGCCAAGAATAGTGAATAGTTTACAAGACATGAATGCTTCTTGCTTGTTTGCTTCTCCTCAACTCGGGCGGGATGTCTCTATATATTATAAATTTTAGTATTATTAGTCATGCCCACTCCTCCTCTCATGTGCTTTACAAATTCCCTTCATTGGCACCTTGTGTTACGTTTTATCTCCATTGGATTTTTCCCGTTATACCATATTGCTTTCATTGTGATTTGATCAAGATTGGGCCATGCATGTAAACGGCTTTGGCAAAACCGGGAACGTTCACCCTACAACACGATGGGGAAAGCGTAGGGTAGGGACGTCGAAAACACGAATGCATGCACAATCCGTTCATTGAACGGAACAAACCTTTGAAAGATGATTAATGAAACTAGAATGAAAAAAAATGGACGTGGAATAAGATAAGAGAGCTATGTATTATCCAATTGAAAGCAAAAGACATTGAATTGAAGTAACAAAAGAATGGACCCAAAAGAAGAAGGAAAAGAACAACTGTGACTTAGTTGTCGCATATATGTTGAAGGCAATGGCTCGCGAGTCACATTATACCTGTCGAAGAAAAAAAGAAAGAAAGAAAATATGTGGTTTGTCCAAAAATAAAAAAATATGTGGATCACAATTTGTGAGCGTAGATCCAAATAGTCTCTATGTCCCTACACTTTGAAACTAATCATCCCAACCCCCCTTACCATAAATGTGCATTCTTTTATTGTTACAAAAATGTGCATATTATTTAGAGTAGATTATGTAAAGGAAAACAAGAAGAAGTTTTTTGATAAGATGTGTTGATAAGATGTGTAATTGATTAATCAAAGTAAAAAAATGTACATACGTGCTTTTGAGATTACTGAGATAAGAGTAAAAAGATTCAGAAACAAAAAAGCCAAAAAAATGCAACACCAACAATTCAAGTGCTATCTATTATCGAAAAACCGCAAACCAAAGTTAAGATATCGAAGCCTTATATGCATAATTTCAGAGATAGCCAGCTTGTGGAAATGACGAGTAGCCACTATTGTGGATGCCTGAATTATGTTCCCTCCAAATAAGATAAACACTTATTTGAAAAAGAGTTAGGAGAATGTCATTAAAATTCTCAATATATATTTTTTTGTTGTCTTCTTTTCACTATTTGGAGAGCAAAAATTTTGTGAATTACTACTCGTTGACGATGAATGTACAAGTTTTTTTTTTTTTTAAATAATTAGGTGAATAAACAATTCTTAAGTTTCTATTTGAGTATATTCTAAAATGGCAAAAGGGAACCTTCATATTTTCTATTGACTTATAGGCATGTACATTCTTTTAGATAAATCATTTGAGATTCTTGCAAATAAGTGTTTCAATACTTAAAAGTGTTAAATAATAATATGGAATACTCAGATGATAGACCACATGCCTATAAATCAAATCTAATAACAGAAATTTCTACATCGAAAAATAGCATGACCCATAGCAAAATAGTGCGTTATGCAAATTTTTTTTTTTTTTTTTGGATGACATGAGGTAAAACCGTATAATATACTTTTTGAAGAATGAGTTGTCGACGTAAAAAAATAAAATGTTCCAAAAACTTTTACCTAGAATCTTATTATTTTCTGAAATACCGATTTTCTTTTTCCATTTTAGTGCAAATAGATTGCTTATGTAAAGAATATGAGATGTAATGTACATATTGTGATGGATATATACATTATATTATAGTTAGTTTATGAATGAGTAGATTCTGTGACTAAAAAATCGAAAATGAGTTTTTTAGAGATCAGCATAAGGTAAATGAGAAATTGAAAGAAGGCGATTGGGGGGGAAAGTTTTGATGAGAGGATATGGTGGTGTCCTCGTGTGCGTGGCTGCATTCTCGTGGCATACCATCACCATACTAATAATTGAAATCCAAGATATATATATAAAAGAAAATTCATGAATCAACAAAAGCAAAATGAAAGAGAAAAGTAAACGTGAATAGATTGAGAGAGAGAGAAGGACAGGTGAAGGTGGGTGTCGGCCAAACCACGGACACCGGTCGGAGTCTCAAGACAAATGAAGCTTTGCGTCTGGGGACCATTCACACACCCATGCCAACTCCAACTCGATATATATACATTCTTCTTCATTTTTCCTTTTTTTTAAGTAACTATAAATAAACTGATTAATAATGGAATTAATTTAGTTAGCTTAAGCTTTTTTTTTCCTATTGTGATTAATGAATTTAATCACATTATTAAGATATACTCTTCTTGCATTAGTGATATGTTTTCTTATCGTTTTGTTTTGGTTGTTTCTCAACATACAACTTTCGAAAATATCGACATTACATGTTGTGATTTCTCTTGTCACACCAATTAAAAAAGGGAGATTTTTTGGTATTTAAAAAGAGAATTAGAAAGGAAAGAGAAACAAGTGTAATAGTTTAAAAGGAAACAAACAAAGGAATGTAAAGGCAAAATACAAGTCCCGGCCTTAGTTTGGTTTTGTGTACTTGTTGTTGTGCTTCATGTTCTTTGGCTATTTTTCATCACGTTATCTTTGGTTCCCTTCACTTTTTTTTCTTCAATATAAAACTAATTAAAGGAATGCCAAGAAATTTGTATTAAACATTGACATATGCTTAAACTATGTATGTTTTGATAGCCACACAAAAAGACCTTTCGTTCAAATAGAGACTGAAAGAGTTCATGCACCACCATCATATGTATAGAGATTATACGTTTTAGAGGCTACAGTAATGCTCTCAGGGGTAGACATCAAAAAATTTGCAGGAAGCTTTCACTGATAGTATCACTTGCCGTTTAAAATCAATATCGGGATCTTTGTTCTACAGTTTCCATTGACCCTTTTGCATATCTTTGATCATCCTTAATGTATCCGGTTTGTTGATCATATACACACCAGCATTAGATTTGTGGTAGCCAATGTGTGCTAAATATAAAGTAGCTCTCATTGAACTAGGGTAACACTCAAATTAACTGTGTTTCAAGATCTATAACTAAACACTTACATCATAACTCTCAATCTAATAACTCATTATAAAATACAAATTTAATTCTCTGTGGTTTTCCTTAAATTGATTTTGCCACGTTAAATGCATCTTGGAGTTATTTAAGCTACTCAAATATGTTCTCTGTGTTTCCGAAACAAACCAGAGCGAGGTAAGAGTAAGACCAGTGCAGCACTCAATGTGCATAGATGAGCAGAAGTAAAAAATCCTGAAACAATCTAAAATGTAACTAAATTGAAACTAAGCTTAATGAATCCAACCGAGAGACAAACTAAGAAAATAGAGAAGCTTACCAAAGATAGCGTGAGACAAAAGCTTCGGAATCAGAAGCAGAATACAAAGACGAAAAAAATGAATTGAGCTAGGGTAACACTCACCCCGAATCCTAAGTCCTAACCAGTAACGATGTTGGATCACCATGAGATCCTAGACAAAAGCTTCGTGATCCTTTATTTTTAGCAACGTTTAATCTTTATGGGCTCGAGAGATTTTTCTTAAAGTGGGCCTAAGTCCATTATGAAGTAAATGGCGTGGCCTTGAGTCCATTATGAAGTTAATGACGTGGCATAACCCTGCCACATTCGAGTTTTTTGACGATCCACATCTGCCGTCAAAACAGTAAAACCGCCGTCTAAACTTTATAAATCGAAGGATCTGGACCGTTGATAACACCTAAATAAACGGGATTTAGATCACGGAGAACGTGAGCATCCCTCTGACAAGAAGAAGACAAAAAAAAGAAAGAAAAAAAGCACATGACATGATTCTTTCTTTCACCACCCTTTCGTCTCCCACTCTCATCAATCTTAGATTCCTCTCTTCTCTTTCTCTCTGATATTTCAAAGCTTTTACACTTCTTCCAAATCTTGAAAGATCAATTATTATGGCTGGCGAGATTCATCAAGAACCGTTTAGCCTTAGTTTTCAGGTAACTTCTTCTTCTACTATATTGTCACACTTCTAACTTGTTTCTACTACTACTCTGTTCGTTCTTGTTACTCATCTGTATAGAATCTCAGGTTTACTTGTCTCTTCCTTGAGTTTTATGGCTTTTAGCTTTACATTTACTGGAATTTGCTTATAACCGCATTAGCATGTATGCAGAGTAAGTGCTTTATGTCTTGGAAGAAAAGTCAATTGCTTTAAGCTTCAATGAAATGAAAAAAAAAAAATTAGAGGACCACCTTCCTTTTTGGTACACTTTGGTTTATGTATATAGTTTAATGTTAGGTGTTTGGGCTCTTTTTAGAGAATGGCATGATTTTGAAACTTTTGTTGTCACACTAGAGGTTGAATGGTTTGGTTAGAAAACTAAATAGCTCAAATGAATCTAGGATACGACATTGTATGTATGTAATATGTTTTAGGATTGTTCTTATTGGTTTATGAATCCAAATTGCAGGGAAGTTCTATCCACTCTGGATCGATATCGTTTGGAAGATTTGAGAAAGAGTTATCATGGGAGAAGAGGTCATCTTTTTCTCACAATAGGTATCTTGAAGAAGTTGATAAGTGCTCTAAACCTGGCTCTGTTACTGAGATGAAAGCACATTTTGAGGCTCATTTCAAGAAGAAAGGAATCAGATTACCGGCTTCTCTTGAATCTCAAACTTGGGGAGTTCGTCAAACAGGTGGTGAGCCGGATGATGAAGCTGTCTATGCTACTGAGAGTTTCGAGGATTATCGATCTGATGGGAGTTTCTCGGAGAACACAAGTCAGTCAAACAGTGTTTGTAACTACAGCCATGAACAAGAGAAATGTGGTGAAGGAAAGAACCAATGTGAGTATGATGAGGAAAGTGATAAATGTGTGAGCTATGATGAGATTCTGGTGAATTCGGATGAAGTGGTTGAGCTTGATGATGAAGAAGGCGGTGGTGACCACAGGATTCTTGCTGTTCCTGTTGAGTGTGGGGATCTTGAAACTCCTGAGACGCCACAAGAGATTGAGATTCAAGATATTCAAGATTCTGCTTTAGTTGAAGAGACCAGATCAAGACTCGAGGAACATGTTCCGAAAAAGGTTACACTTGAGAGTATATCTTGTTGGTTTTTGCATTCTGACAAATTTATCTAAGCTTTATGTGTTTCTTGGTCTATTCATAGCCATCTGATGCTACGGAAACACCCTCCTCCTCTGCATCTAGATCCAAGTCTCGGGAAAATGTAAAACCTATTATTCCTCTTGATGTGCGTGTGACTAAAGCTTCTACAAAGAAACATGATGTTAAGTCAAAAGCTACTTCCATGAAGACAAAGGGTTCTTCTTTAAGTTCTAATTTGAAAACCAATGTAGAAGCCAAGAGGTACTCTACTTTTCTTTCCATGTATAACGTTTGCAACTCTGTTTCATCTTTCTTCTCTTTGCTTAGAGTTAAGACCTATTGGCTTTGTGATAGTCTAAAGGAATTAAGACCGAAGAAAACCATTGAGTCTCATCCTAAAACATCGAAGAGAACCGAGACACGAACTCCTATTGCTACAAACAGGTTCAAATACTAAGACCACTATAGTTTCTTGAGCCTAACCGCTTTCAAAAATCTAATGGTTTCACTTGCAGGTTAAAGACTAGTACCAATTCTTCTAAGCTGGAGATGAGTACAGGCTCTACTAGTTTCCATTTCAAATGTAGTGAACGAGCTGAGAAGAGAAAAGAGGTCTTCTTTCTCTTCAAAAACTATGACATCTTTTTACCTTTGGTTGTATGAGGATCTTATAAATTTTTATTTTTTTCAGTTCTATATGAAACTGGAGGAGAAAATACATGCTAAGAAAACAGAAACAAACCAAGTTCAGGCCAAAACACAGGTATAAGTCATCATCATGTCTCTTTGAAAATTTAAACATGTCATGTCTTTTACATTTCAAAAATAGCTAACTGGATGATTGGATAAACACTTCGGATGCAGCAAAAGGCCGAAGCTGAGATGAAACAGTTCAGGAAAAGCCTCAACTTCAAGGCAACACCAATGCCTTCATTCTACAACACCGATACTAGACCAAGATCTCATAACAAGGTATTTACAGAAATCTCTCAAGTTGTTAGAACCTCGATAACCCAATTGGTCACGAGTACTATAATTATATCTTCCAAACATCAAGAAAGTAGCAGCCATCATTAATATTCTAAACTTGCTTTCTCTAAATAATTTTCAGACCGAGCCATCTAAAGTAGCACCATCAAGATCACGACCCGCGTCCTCAGCCTCAATGTCTAACAGAGCAGTCACAAGAGTTCCTTACAAACACGGTTCTGAAGAAGCTAAAACGGTAAAGGTAATGGTCAGTAATAGAAAACAAAGCGCGGCTAAAGATTCGGATTTGAAAAAGAGTAATCTCATGGCGGTTGAAATAAAGCAAAAGATTGGTGCTCGTCCTGCAAGAAGCGGAAACTAAACAGACATGTGGCGATTTGAATTCTGCGGTTGGCTGCATCGCTTTCTAACGCGATTAATCATATCATCATCCTCTGCTTTTGTTTAGCGTTCTGTTAAACTGATATGTGTGACTCTGCTAAGTACTTAAGTCTTTAACCAATAAGAAAAAACAACTCTGAATAGTAGACATAATAATAACATTACATCCAATTTGTTTCTATTTAAGATAATAATGTTCCATCCAATTTATTTCAACCATTGTGTACAAAGAGTTATAGAGAAAACTGAAAACCGTGTGGATGAAAACAAAACCTTTCAAACCATGCTTAACACCAAATTTTTGCTAATCTAGTCATATAAATAAGTAATTTTTTTCATGCAATTACAAAATAATAATTTAGAAAGAGAAAAAACGTTAAGGTTTTTATATTTTGACGTGTGATTCAATTGTATTTCGAAGAATTAAAGTATTAAATTACGAAAACCGTGTCGGATGAAAGAAAGTGTATGTAAATTTTCATGGTTGGTATCCAATAATCTATATGCTGATTGGCCTACAATTTTAGTATCTTTGAATTTAAAATTGTGGAACTAACATTTCTCTTTTTGTTTTTGGATCATCTAAGCATGACAGTAAAGTTAAAGATGTTCGCGTTCTACTTACGTCTCAACAAGTTAAACTAAAGTCAAAGGTTTAGGTAACAAACTCATATTTCTATAAATATATCACATTTTGTGTTCTTTTGATAACCACGTTTTGTCTAAAACACATAACATCATCAGAGCATTCTCAAACACAAAAGAACAAGAAATGGTGTTGAAGACAAGTTTCGAAGCACTTCCTGTAGAGATACAAACGGAGATCCTGTCACGGTTGCCTCTGAAATGCTTAATGGTATTCTGCGTCTCAAAGAAATGGTCACCTTTGATCCGTACGAAAGCCTTCAGACAACTTTACTTGAGCCGGTCGATACAAAGGCCTCGAGTGATGTTTATGGTCCGTCGACTAAAGTTCAACCTAACAGTAGGTGATGTTCTGTTTCACTCTGTTTCTCAAGAGGAGGAGTCATTGTTGTCTTCTGGTGATCAGCAAGATATGTGCATCTCTCCTGAACCAGGATATGATGAGATTTCTCCACCTGTCCGAGGTTTGATCTGTCTTCGAGAGAAAACTAAGGTTGTGATTTACAATCCGGGTACGGGAAAGTTTCTGACTTCTTTACCAGAGATCCAAGCGTGTAAAGAAAAGGCCATAACAGTATTTTTCGGATACGATGAAGTTACAAATGTATTCAAGGTTTTAGCGTTTGATAAATCACAAGGAGCTAAGATACATCAGATTTTGACCGTGAGATCGGGTACACAATCTTGGAGAAGGATCATATGTGAGCATGATCATTCTCCAGTTACGGAAGGACTATGTAAAGAAGGAGTTTTGTACTATGGAGCTCTGTCCAATACTGATAAATCTCTAGTAATGAGCTTCAACTTGAGGTCTGAAGTGTTTACTGTCATTGAATTACCCGAGGGAGTCGACACTCGAATGGAGACATTAATGAACTTCAACGGGAAGATTGCTTTGGTGAAAGAATCCCCTTGTAATGGAACTGTTCAATTGATGGTTAGAGATGAAATTTCAGGAGAATGGGATATGAATTGGATTGTTATTTCTGACTGGAAACAAACTGTTGAAGATATGATGTTTTATTTTAAAGGTACCATTGGAAATCAAAGACTTGTTTTCGCACTAGACGCTGCGTATAAGGGATCACTCTTTGTGTTGTATTACGACAGAGCCACGAGAGATGTTACAAAATTTGAGATTGAAGGAGTTGTTGGAGATCAGTTTCATTCTGTTCGAACCTTCTTGGATCACATAGATAGTCCTCTGCTTTTGTGAAGAACAAGAGTTTGGTCCATTTTGGTATCAAGAATAAGAGTTGGCTGCTTCATTCTCTCAAGTATAGCTAGTTCTAGGACTTATTGGAATGGTTCGTTTTTATCACTTCTACTGTTGTAAATCCTTATTTATGCTAAATAATAATGTTGTCTCCCAAGTAATACTAGTCCTATTGGGATTGTGTACAAACAAATTCAAATGAAAAGCTTTGTATTATTTTGACGTGTTAGTCAACTATATTCGAATAATCAAATTATTAAAATTTGTACGATGGAAGAGAATATGTCGTCACACCCTCATGCTTGGTATCCAATAACGTCCATGCTAATTATAGTAAGTTTTTTGCGCGTAGAAATTAATACTTCTCCTTTCTGGTTTAGATGTAAAGTAATTACGCGTCTTGGAGGCGGATCACATGCAAGTGTGATCATTCACCAGCTATTGAAGGAGTATGTCTAGTAATGACGTTGGAAATTTGTGATTCACAATGGCAACATTGCCTTAGTGGATGACTCTGACTTTGACAACAAAGTACTTTTGAATGAACCGAACCGAGTGAACCATTGGAACAGGAGAACTTGTTTTCGTACAATGCTTTGACAGTTACGGCAGTGATCTCTTTGTGTTGTCTTACGATACAGTCACAAAAAAATCTCATAATGTTTAATATTGGAGGAGTCAGGAGTGGTTGGCAACTATAATAGTGTTCCAACTTTCTTGGATCATGTTGATATATATATATATATAGTCTTTTTTTTCCTTATGTGAAGAACAAAGAGTTGGTCCACTGATTATGAGAAACTCGTTGGCTGTTCTGTATATTTGTTTATGTATAAGTATTTTCCTTTGATGTAAAAAAAAAGTATTTAAGTATTTTTCTTTGAAGTTATTTGTCTCTTTGTACAAATATTTTTGGTACAGTAGTTTGTTTATAGTCTGTACAAATATTTGAAAAGGAAAACTGAGATATTTTACTAATTATGAATAATAAATTTTCTATAACTATGTTTAAAAAACGTTCTAATTTGCCAACAAACTCTTTTTAAAGAATACGTTTCAAAATTTTCCTACTGAGTTACCTTTCTGTTTTGTGGATATGGCCTTAGAGATTAAATGATTGAGACCTATAACTAACAAGAATGTTTGTATATCAATTTTGTTGGATTTAATTGATTTTATCGTAATATTGATGTATTTTCTTTGAGTGGAGTTTACACGTATTTTTAGAGGAGGTATACATTTAAAAAAAAAAAAAAAACCTTAAGTCTTCATTTTAGAAATCTTTGTCTCTTGATGGCAACTTTTCATCTTAACAAGTGACAACCGTAAAATTTGGTTCAAATTGTACTTATTCATCATAACTATATCCAAATATGTTATACTAGTTAAAAACAAGAATTTGATATAGCATTAACAATAAAAAAAACATATGGAAAAATAAACTTTTTTAAATAGCTAATAATCTCAAATAAGTATAAATGAAAAAAAAAAAATATATATATATATATATATAACATCTTTTTTAGAACATTCTTCAATAAATCACTACAAGAAAAATGGTCTTTTATAGCACACGAAAACAGCTACTAAAAGTCTTTCGTAGCGTATTCATAAACACTATGATATGAGGAGCTATGATAGACTCACCCCCTATCATAGCGTAGTTAATGAGTTAAGAAGATTAACCTATCATTGCTCTAACCGCATGATATTTATTACTTTTTGGTAGCGCCTGTTTCTTGCTATTATGTTTTTTATTATAGCAAATATAATGAGCTGTATTATATATAATGATAGCACATTAAATGTGCTGGTGGTTGGATATGGTTCTCGAATTTAACACAATCTTAGCATAAAGACCCTGCTATTGTAAAGTTTTATATAGTAAATTTATCTTGCTATTGTATATTTTTTAATGGCAATTATACCTTGCTATACCATCATTTACAAGAGCATTTATCAATTGTCATTGAATATTGTTTTTGAGCTTTTTTGTCGTGCTATAATATATTCTTTCCTGGCACTGAGAAAATGCTGTTTAATTTGCAATGGTATTTAGATCTATATTGAATATATATTGAATCTATAATTTGTTATTTGAAACGTTGAATTGCAAAAAATGTAATTTGCTTTAATTTATGAAAGACCATAAACATATGAAAGACCATAAACATAACATGAACGAAAAGTCTAAATTCAATAGAACATAACATGAACTAAATTAGATAAAGTTATTAAATTAACAAAGTCTAAACATAACATGAACTAAATTCGATAAAGTTATTAAATTAACAAAGTCTAAACATACATGAACTAAAAAAACTTGAACTCCAATATTGCCTAATTAATAGAACGAACCATGCCATTAATCTTCAATCAGCCTTGCGTCTTGAGGACTGTCCTTTTTCTACTTTTGGGCGTTTCATTGCAGTGTACTTGCCGGGATTGTTTTTGAGGTTTCTCCATAGTTTTAATAGTTTTGGTCTTGTAGTGCACATGCTAATAGTTTTGGTCTTGTAGTGGACATGCTAATATGTTATATATATAATATTGTTAAAAACTTAATAGTTTTGAGTTTTGACTTTGATTAAACCAAGTGAAGGTAGAAACACCATCACAACATCAAACTTGAAGGAGAAATCATTGTCGGCGAATAAGAGATCATTCTTTGTCTAACAAATGGATCTCGGCCTCGACTCTTGTCAATACTTGGAAAATATAGAGCCGCTAGACCAAGCATCCAAAACTTTGTAGGTAGTTGGCTAGTTCTTTTAATATCAATAGAATATATTCTCTCCCATATATCCTCGGTAGGATTTTGTTCTTGTAAACTCCAAACATCCACATGTGAACTATTTTGCACATTCGCTAAGCACAACTGATCATTCAGATTCCACATTTCTACTCTAGTAGCATCATTGGTATAGCACACTGGTAACATTATCCATCGAAATTTTTCGGTGTGAAGATCGATAGCTAGTACCATATCAAGTGTTTGCCTCCTCTTATCCAACGTCAACCAAAAGAGAGATCCGTTTGCGTAGACTGATGTCTGCTCTTCGCAGAATTCACGGACCTCTAAAGTAGAAAAATCTGCGTCTCTTTGCTCACCATTATCAAGGGATATGACCTTGGTCTTGAAAAAAACACAATTCCTAGGTCTTGAATATATCAAAACCACCTTATATGATTTTGTAACAATGTCTTTACCAAATCCAGCAAGAAACGGCATTATCTTCAGTAATTCACCTTCGTAACTAAAGATTGATTGAGAAACTTGTCCCCTTGTTCTATTTTCCGTAAAATTAAAATTAACTGGCCATTGAGAAAATTCCGGAAAAAGTGTTATGTGTTCTTTAGTCGTCGGATTGATCAAGTAAATGTACCTAAAATCGTCGTAGATCCGAATCAAGACCAATCCATCACAAGACCCCAAGACTTGAATTGTTTTGTTTTGAGATTTGTCGACTGGATCATCAGGAAAAGTGTAGTAACTAGAAGAAGAAGGACAATATTTTTTGTTATCGTAATCCTCCCCAGAAAAAGTATCCAAACGCAAAGTTGTTGAGTTTGAATCTTCTTTATGAAACTTGGCAGACAATTGTTGACTAACAACAAGACTTTTCATATTAGGGCTTGGTAATCCTTTATGTACGAGTCGTTTGTGGGAAAAATGGGTTGATTCGATCATCCCTCTACATTCTTTTGACAGGATTTTAAATTTAGTGAGTGATTTTATTGGAAGATGTTGAAAGATCTCTTCAACCATATCATCTGATACAACAATTGTCTTAGGAACTGTATTTTTGTCATGTTCCATTCTTTTCCAAAGGATGATAATTCATAATTTAGATTTGTATATTTATATGTATGAAGAAAACAATGATCTAATCTTGGACTTTCTGCTGTAAATTTAACATTTATTGTGACAAAAAAAAAGAAGATCTAACAGTGTTAATTTATTTTAGGATAAAGAAGAGTAAATAAATTAATGTTGCTTAATGTATGTATATATTACTACTAAAATAATGAAAATTAAATGAGACAATTTGTGAAATTTTTATTTGATTTTTCACAGCGAGACAGTTTATAAACAATTTTCATATAATTAAATATGCTTTCATATAATTTTCTTTAACAATTAATCACTTAGAAAATAATTGTTGATAATTAATCTATTTATTTGAACTTAGATTTTGAACTCTAATATGCTATCTACTTCCTTATGGGTCATGATTTGGTTTAATATTTTTTAATTAAGAGATTTGACATTTGAGTGAGATTTTAAGGGATTTGGTTATTTACTAGAGTACTTTTTATATAAAATAAATGATTAGTGATTCGTCTTGACAATTGTTTTCAAAGTATTGTACTGGTATCCAATAACCAATAATAACACGGTGAAGTCTGAATAAGTGAATACTACTATACTTAATTAATAATAACATTACATCATTTTATTTCAGTTTCAAATCTAAACATAAAGCAAACAATCCTAAAAAAAATTAGCAGAGTAAAAGAAAAGCAAAATACATGCAAGTGGCAAGTAAGTTTTTATGCGTATTCTAAAATCTAAACATTCCCTTACAAGTTTCAACAGTTGTTTACAAAGACCTGAAAAATGGAAACTGAAAACAATTAAAAAGGTTAAACCGTGTTTCTACGCTTAAATTGATTTTGTGGATTGACGACTTGTTAAAACTAAAGTTGTTGCGTATACTCTCTCTCTCTCTCTCTCTATGCTAATTAATAAGTTTTGACGTTATTTTTTGGAGAGTTACCAAAAGACAATAAAGTGAAAACCTTTTTAGATAATGTTAACTTTACAAAAAAAAATAAAAAAAATGTTACTGTTTGATTCAGTGGTGGTTCTTGGAAGAGTTAAACTACTAAAACAAATCTGTTGCACTTTGCATGCAATAATTATAGTAAACTTTTGATGTGTGGAACTGAAATTCTTCGTTAGTGTGTTTAGATGTACGCGTGCAAGTTAAACTAAAGTGACGACCTACTTACACCGTTGATAATTATAGGCCTTCTCAGTGAGACCTCCAAATAATCTGCTTTGAATCGTACTTCAACGATGATCGATGCCCACTTCTTTGACAAGACGATTTCAGCGACAGCCGTAGAACAATGTCTTTATTGATCTTTGGAAACTTAATTTTTTTATTATTAAATTAACTTTTTATATTTTTCATACATATTAAGAAATTATTATAAATATATTATCTTTTAGGATTGACAATTTTTTATAGCTCTTAACTGATAATATTCACTTATTTTCTTAAAATTTACAATTTTTCTTTAATAACTACTTCCTCCTTCTCAATTTAAGTGATGCTTAAAGTTTTGGGACATGACTTATAGTGAAACAAATTTTTTTTTGGCTAAAACATCATTTAATAAGAAATGGAGAGAGTATTAGAAAATGCATAGAAAACTTTAAAAATATATTATTTTTTTCCTAGAAAATGGATTAACAATGAACATAGAAAATATATATTATGGAATTATTCATTTTTGTTTCCTTTGACGAGTTGACGTTAATCTTCATTTATGTTATTTATGGAATAATAAACGTTTTATCAATTCAGATGTAACTTTAATGACGTTTCTATACTCACTGATTCTCAAGCTGTGAGAGCTAGCCTTTTCATGAAATAGAGTTATTCAACTTTTGGGTTAGCTTCACTTAATCATTTAATGGAGGAGGAACTAATCCAACTTTGCTTGTACTAATTAAAGACTGTTTATACAACTGAGACTAGAAATTACTCATATATTTTTTGCTACTCGTGATTCTTATATAAAGATTAACAAAAACAAGAAGAGTTTAATTTCTCAATATTCAAAAAAATGTTTCAGTTTCCTCTTTTTGGAAAATGCATATTATATACTCTTAACTTTAATATAACTTTAATATATACTAAAATACACAAGTGACAAGTTACACAAACTGGAGCATATTATTTACTCTTAACGTTAATTAAACGTTTCAACTATAGAAAGTTACAATTTTTTAAAAAGAAGGTTAAAATTAACCCATAAAACAAAAACGTTACCAAGAAAAAAACACAAGTACCGCAAGAAGATTTGCCATTGTTACGATCTTGACCGCTGATTTCGAGGAAGATGATGACTGATCTATTTGATGTGGAGGTTTCCTGTAGTAGAACGGGAAGTAAGGCAAGATAGGATCCGGCGGTGGAGAACCGTAATATCCGCCACCGGAGTTACCCCCATAATAAGGCGGAGAAGGGTAATTACCGGACGATGGGGGAGGGTAGTAACTGGTCGGTTGAGGATAATAACCGGCCGGTTGAGTGGAGCCAATACCGGTTATTGGAGGCGGGTAACAAGGGTACGGACATGGCGTTTCGGATATGGTTATGAAAGGGAAGTTAACTAGAGAAAACAAGAACAATAGACTTATGAGGTGACCGCAACGTTTACTTACGGCCATGTTTGTTTAATGGTAAACAAGAAAATAATATGTTTGTATGTAAGAGCTCTGGAGAATATGTTTTTTCTTGAATCATTAAGTTTAGTAATATATTGTTTACACTGTCTTATCGTGAACTGATCATTTAAATGACACAAACGAAATTTTTTGAATAATGACGAAGACTAACAAAGGTCAATGAGATTGAACGTGTCTTGTGGCTACCATACACTTGTTGCCTAGCAAATTATGATACTTGGCTGTATTTTTTTGTCCTTTAAGAAAATATGGCCACCGCTTGATGATGGAACGTTTTGAGAGATCTCGGTCCGAACCCGAAATTGCTCCACCATAGAATATATCTATGTTTTGTAATATGTAGATTTCACGTTAGTTGGTTTAATGATACAAAAAAATTTAAGTTGGTCGAGTTATTGTGAGAGATAGCTAAGACTTCTTACCACAAACCAGATTTCAATTAAATTGATAACATGCGATCGAGTTTAAAATAGAGGGATATAAAAAGGATTAGGAGTTTATCAACTTTTCTTTAGTTTGTCACCAACTAACTAACTAAGCTACTACAGCATGTGAGAAATATTTGATGAATTCATCAACACACTTGATGACTATCTTTTTATATTGATGTCCACTTTCTTACTTTGGAGGGTTACTAATAATTAATAAATATACATGTCCTTTTTGTTATGGCTCCAAATTATGAGAAAACCCTATAAAAAATTCGTTGAAAACCACAGGAATATTTTTTTCCAACGGCGTGAGAAAAGCCATGTTAATTATATATGGCTCCAAATTATGATATAACTAGCTAGATGATAAAAACGTATAGTTAGGCACAGGCTGTGTTTTGCTCTATTATGTCCCACTTTAATCATATTATACAAAATTGGAAAGCCTTCGGAAAAGAAAGGTGCTAATAATTTTTTTTTTCTTTTCTCATCCTTTGTAAAAACGGGTTAAGAGAATTGTTGTACTTATTCATATAACTATATATCCAAATACAAATAAATTGAAATTAAATATAGTTTTATATATATATATATATATATATATATATATTATAATTCTAAACATTTCTTTTTAATTTATAGATAATATTATTACAAACTTAATAGTTTTGGTTAAACCAAGTGAAGGTAGAAACACGATCAGAAGACCAAACTTGAAGGGGAAATCATTGTCGGCGAATATGAGATTGTTTTTTGTCTAGCAAATGGAACTCGAGCTCTATTCTTACTAATGCTTGGAAAATAGGCAGCCGCCAAGCCAAGCATCCAAAACTTTTCATGTAGCTGGAGCTGGTTAGTTCTTATATCAATAGAATATATTCTCTCCCATTTCTCATTAGGTGGATACTCTTTTTGTAAACTCCATACGACCAAATCTGAACTTTTCAGCACATCTGATACGCACAAACGATCGTTCAGATTCCACATTTCTATACGAGTAGGATAATTAGTGTAACACACCGGTAATAATATCCATCGAAATGTTTCGGTGTGAAGATCGATAGCTAGTATCATGTCAAGTGCTTGCCTCTTTTCATCTAACGTCAACCAAAAGAGAGATCCGTTTGCGTAGACTGATGTCTGCTCCTCGCAAAATGTATGGCCATCTAAACTAGAAAAATCTGCGCTTCTTTGCTCACCATTATCAAGAGATATGACCTTGGCCTTGAAACAATTACAACTCTTAAATTTTGAATATATCAAAACCACCTTATATGATTTTGTAACAATATCTTTACCAAATCCAGCGATAAACGGCATTATATTCAGTAATTCACCTTCATAGTTAAAGATTGATTGGCCAAATTCTCTCCATGGTGTATTAACGTTTAACGTAGAAATACATTTAATATCAACTGGCCATTGAGAAAATTCCGGAAAAAGTGTTATGTGTTCGTTAGTCGTCGGATTGATCAAGTAAATGTACCTAAAATCGTCGTAGATCCGAATCAAGACCAATCCATCACAAGACCCCAAGACTTGAATTGTTTTGTTTTGAGATTTGTCGACTGGATCATCAGGAAAAGTGTAGTAACTAGAAGAAGAAGGACAATATTTTTTGTTATTGTGACGCCTCTCTAGAAAAAGTATCCAAACGCAAAGTTGTTGAGTTTGAATCTTCTTTATGAAACTTGGCAGACAATTGTTGACTAACAACAAGAATTTTCATATTAGGGGTTGCTAATCCTGTATCAACGATTCGTTTGTGGGAAAAATGGGTTGATTCGATCATCCCTCTACATGTTTTTGACAAAACTTTAAATCTAGCGAGTGATTTTATCGGAAGATGCTTAAAGATCTCTTCAACTATATCATTTGATATAGCAATTAGCTTAGGAATTGTATTTTTGTTATCCTCCATTCTTTTCAAAGGATGGTAATTCATAGTTTAGATCTGTATATTTATATTTACGAAGATTAACATTTAACTTTAGATTAACATTTATTGTGACAAAAAAATATAGATCTCACATTGTCATTTAGAGTAAATAAATTAATGTTGCTTAATGTATGAATAGAATATTATTAAAAATAATGAACAAAATGAGACAATTTGTGATTTAAATACTTTATTATTAAATATGCTTTCATATTGTTAACTAATCTATTTATTTGAACATTGATAGAGTTTAAGTATGCTTCCTTTTCTTTCTTTTTTGCCAACAAAATGAAGTGCTATCTACTTCCTTTATGAGGCATGATTTGGTGGAATTTAACATTTTTAAATTTTAAGAGATTTGACATTTGAGTGAGATTTTAAGGGATTTAATTATTTACTAGAGTTTTTATATTAAATAAAAATAGGAATAAATGATTGATAATTTGGGTGAGTTTGGATACTTTAAGAAGAAGGAAAAAAATATTACGTGTTCTTTTAACGACGATATATGACTCATAATTCATCTAAAACTGTTGGGTATTTTTATAGAATTTATAGAGAAAAACAATACATTATTTGATTTGATATTTCACCTTTTAAAAAAAAAAAAAATAGTGTTAAATTAGATTCAAGAAAAATACATTTGTACAACTAATGCAAAGAAAGTTTGAAAAGAGTTAAAACTCCATAGAGAGAGCCTTCCCGATTACAACGTCGTTTTTCAGGCTTTTACTAATATCCAGTTTTACACTCAATTACCACGTCGTTTTTTTATGGTTTAGCGATTACGACATAATAATAACATTTACACTATATCCAATTTTAATTACATAAACCAAACAAATCCTCAACGGATTAAAACTAAAGTGAAAGGCGGATCAAACTCTCTCACATCTCTATCCTTCAGAGAGAGAGAAGGCAATTTCCGTCTAACCGGAATTTTTTTTGTTTCTTTACATAAACATTTCCGTTTTAATTGGATATATGTTTTCGATCTTTCTGATTTTAATAATTTTCGATTTAGTCTGGATTGTTTTCCAACTAAGATCGATTTATTTTGTTATCTTTCTACATGTTTCTCAATCTAATCACGTTCTAACTTTCTATTGGTTTAATCATTTCGGCTTGAGTCTTCATAAAGATGGAGTAATGATAGTAGGTCTAGTGATATAAATTTTACGTTGGTCGAGTTATTGTGAGAGGTAGCTAAAAGGCTTCTCTTACTCTTACTACAAACCAGATTTTGATTAAATGGATAACATGCGAGTTTTAGAGGGATTTAAAAGGATTAAGAGTTTTTCTTTTCTTTTGTCACCTACTAACTAAGTAACTAGCTAGATGATAAAATCGTATAGTTAGGCACAGGCTGTGATTTGCTCTATTATGTCCCACTTTAATCATATTATACAAAATTGGAAAGACTTCGGAAAAGAAAGGTGATAATAATTTTTTTTTTCTTTTCTCATCCTTTATTCTCTTAAGAATTTTCAAAAAAAA